CATGGGCAGTAGGCTTAGCGCCTCCCCCGGATTGCAACATGTTATATTGTTGCAACAAGTCATTGCGTTGCTGCGTTAATATTTGCAGCTTCATGCTGGTGCTTTTTATATCAGCATCATTTATAGCATCACACAATTTTTCATTCAGTTGCATGATTTTTTTGTTGAGTACTGATATGTTACTCTGTATGTTGACAGTAACGTCTAAAACCTCTTTTTGAGGCTTAGCATTTTCTTCGACAGGGCTAGTTGCATTATCTGCATCACCCATGTCAACATCTTCCATGAGATCTTTCTCAATCTCTTCTTCCAACGTGAGTTCGAAGTCCAAAGGATTTTCGCTCCCACGCAGTTGTTGATCAATGTAGAACAACTTTGGTGAAGGTCTGCGACCAGAAGCAACGTCAACAAAGTTGGGTCTTTGATCCCCACTTGAAATGTTGTTGTTGTTGTTGTTGTTGTTACGTTCGGTGTTCATCGAAAAAAATGTTGTATTTGCTTATTTAAAAAATTGATAACAGTTGTAAGTCGATGACTATGAACTTAGGTGTCTTTATTATTCTTCAGATGAAGTAGAAGGATTATTTACTTTGTGAGGTTTAATGGGAATTATATTATTTGAGGACGCGTATGCTAGTCACTAATTTCAGGTTCAGATGCTTATTGGGTGATTATTATACTTAGGCCTATATCTTGTTCTATGTTGTACATAACCTATATTAGATGCAATATAGATAGACCGTGGTAGAATGTATTCTCTACCTGGTTGTACGTACTCGAGTATTGTAGTTATTATCTCACCAAACACGTCATAGAGAATACATTCTACCACGGTCTATCTATATTGCATCTAATATAGGTTATGTACAACATAGAACAAGATATAGGCCTAAGTATGATAATCACCCAATAAGCATCTGAACCTGAAATTAGTGACTAGCATACGCGTCCTCAAATAATATAATTCCCATTAAACCTCACAAAGTAAATAATCCTTCTACTTCATCTGAAGAATAATAAAGACACCTAAGTTCATAGTCATCGACTTACAACTGTTATCAATTTTTTAAATAAGCAAATACAACAGGCGCCGTCCTATATCAGATTGTCAACAATCATGTACGATATATCGGTTTCATGGCACGCTCTCTTTCTGCTGCTGAGAAAAATTATCCAGTTACACGCAGAGAATTACTCGCCATTATATTCGCACTTAAAAAGTTTCATCCATTTCTATGGGGTCGCCATTTCACTTTATACACTGATCACAAGGCTCTCACGTACTTACACACACAGCCTATCGCTAATGCTATGATGATCAATTGGCTTGACACTCTCTTGGATTATGACTTTACAGTGATCCACCGACCTGGTATCCAAAATAGGAGCTCTGAAGGTATATCACCGGCAAAAATCCAATTGCCTAATTAGGCAATTGGGAGGTACTTAGATAACCAATAGAATAAACGAAGTAGAACTATGCATGTAGCGCAGTATGTAGAGCGTTTGACTCACAACCTGAAGGTTGTGGGTTCGACGCCTGGTGCCAACTTTTTTTACAAGTATTGATATAGTGCGTGTAGTCCGGTATAAATCAACTTATAAATTTTCCATTTTTTTTAAAACGCTTAAACAAAAAAAAAAAAAAAAAAACAAAAGTTAAAAACGCTTTTTTTTGAAGTTTTCGATAGAAATTGTGTTGCCTCTTTCGTGCAATATTATGTGTAATAGAACGAGCAAGTAATTTTTATGATGCTTTGTCTGGTTTATTAATGAAAACTTAACCATAATCGTAATGTAATTTACTATCTCTTTTTGAATACGTATTCTATTTTGGTCTATATGTCAAGTAATCGGAAGATAATAACAGTATTTCTCTTTATTTAAATTGAGGCTGCTTTACAAACAATAATTTACCATTCAATACATGGTCCACCATTCTTCAACTTACTAAATTGAAAAAAAATAAACCAAGACTGTATAATGAGAAATTTGCCTTACGTATATATGTTTGTCAGAAGCTGAACCGGCAAATCCCAATCCTTCTATAAAAGTAACTCTCTATTCACAATATGAAGAGCGAAATAGAGATATTCGTATGGACACGAAGTTAATCGCACTCAGTCCTTTGTATTTATTTTGTACATCAGATATCCTTGTTTGTTAAGAAGTTATAAGATATAACGAAAGTTTTTAATCATATGAGAAGCCTCCAGTGAACTCTTAACTAAAGTATAATATGCGCCACCTCTGCTTTTTTGCATTACTGCTTGCAGAAGCCAGTTACAGATTATTAAAGAAAAAAAAAAAAAAGTTCTATTCTTTTTTTTTTTTTTTTAATCGGTTTGAGTTAATACTATTTGATATGAATTGGAAAAAACATTGGGCAAATAGCTAAGTATTGAGATGTGGAAACAAAAAATAAATTTGATCTTGCACAGTTACATTTTTTGGTTTTTTTTTTTTTTTTTTTACAGTTACAACCAAAAAAAAAAAGTAAGTGATACGTTGGCTACACGCACTGTCGCTTGCTCTGATAAAAAAAGTTGATACCAGGCGTCGACCCCACAACCTTCAGGTTGTGGGTCAAACGCTCTACATACTGCGCTACATGCATAGTTCTACTTCGTTTATTCTATTGGTTATCTAAGTACCTCCCAATTGCCTAATTAGGCAATTGGATTTTTGCCGGTGATATACCTTCAATTAGCCCCAAAATATCCTACCAGATAAATTATCGCGTCTTTTCGAACCTGAAAGAACGCTGGAAGGGGGTAAAACTCCATCTAAAACCATAATCACATCACAAATTGTCAACGACGATGGTTCTATCCTTACCACTCGTATGATGATGCCCGCTGATATTATGACTCCAGCTCCAGAACAAAGACATGATGTGCTATTGAAAGCTCATCTCGAAGGACATCGAGGCTCACAAGCCATTGTTAATTTTCTACATAGTGAAGGTATACACTGGACTAATCTCAAAGAAGATGCTCTTAAATTCGTCCGTAACTGTCCTGACTGTCAAAAATTCAACTTGGCAAAACATGGCTATCATCCACTAAAATCTATCTACGCCGATGCTCCTTGGGACCACATTTGCATTGATACTGCTGGCCCTTTTGCTAAATCTACTAACGGAAACCAATACATCTTAATCGTCGTTGATGTATTCACACGTTTCTGCGTACTCAGAGCTCTTCCCGATAAAAGCGCTATTACTGTTGCATTACAATTACGCAGCATATTTTCCTTGTTTGGCCGCCCTAAAATCATCCAGAGTGATAACGGCACAGAATATGTCAACAAGATCTTAGACCTCTACGTTAAACAATCTGGAATCGACCACAGGCTTATCACAGCTTATCATCCACGAGCAAATGGATTGGCCGAAAGATGGGTTGCAAAGACAAAGTCTAATCTATACAAACAAATCCAAGGTAAACTTGATGACTGGGACTTATATCTTGACAGTACCCAAGAAGCTCTGAATAACACGCACACAGCAATACATGGTACACAACCATTTGCTCTAATGTTTGCGAGACGTCCTAATGAAAACAAGGACTATACAGACACTGTCGATAAAGTAAATACTTCTGCCTCCAGAAAACAGCTACACGACAAAGTCAAGGAATTTAACGATACTGTCTTACCTGCTATACGTGAAAAGATTAAACATTCACAAAAAGCTTCCGAAGACAAATTCAACCGAACTCATAACATTATTGAGGATATTCCTATAGGAAGCCAAGTGACTATCAAGAACGTAAACCGTACATCTAAGGATCAGCCTCCCTATACTAGTAACTACACTGTTAAACGTAAGACTCAAGGTGGAAGCTACAATCTCGCCGATGGCACAGGTGCACTCGCTGTAACCGATGTTCCTCCTTCTCATATCAAAGTTATATCTCGAGAAACACCATCAGCCACAGATGAAACCTATGAAGTCGAAGCAGTACTCAACCATAAAGGCACTCCTGGAAACTATCTGTACCTCACAAGATGGAAAGGCTATGATGAATCACACGATACTTGGGAACCAGCTAATAACTTCTTCAACTACTCGCCCATCAAAAGATACTGGGATCGTCGCAAGTTGGAAGCACCCAACAGTGAAGCTGGATTGGTTATCGCCAACCAAAAATCCAGTAACAAACATCATAAGCATAAAAACCAGAGCATATCCAATAATTCTAGCAAACGCAAAAGACGTTGCTAAGCTCAACGGTTATTTCGTCGCCTTCAACCTTCATCATTACTCGCATTGTCGTCATTCATACGTGGAAAAATGGTTCGGATGTTTTTCAAATCTACACTAAATCAGGCATTACTCAATGAGTTTTCGACAGAATAAAGAGAAAAAATATGCAATAGATAGCTAAAAATGCATTTTATTACTTGTAAAATTTATAGATTATATGATTGGATATCGGAGCTACAATAACAAAATTAAATCGAATGGTCTATCCGAACCATTTTTCCACTTCGATTCAAGTACGCCTTAATACTTTGTATAGCCACCTTTTGCCTTGATAACAGCTTGAATTCTTGCGGGCATACTATCTATGTACTTGCGACAGTCTTCCTTAGTAAAGGTCGCCCACTGTTCTTCTATTCTTTCCCACAATTCATGTACTCCTTTAGCCTTTGTTGGGTATGCACTCAACTTCAATTTCAAGTGATGCCAGACGTGCTCAATTGGATTTAAATCAGGGGATTGAGGTGGCCAGCTGTAAGTCCAATCGACATCAAAGTTGTTGTTCAGAAACCACTCTTTTGTAACCTTGGCGGTATGTTTTGGGTCCTTATTGTTGGATCGGTAAGATCAAAATATAAATAAAATAGGAAATAAACAGTGACAAGTCTGTGAAAACTCTGGAAGGTTCAAGTTTATTCCTTTCTTAAAATTAAGATGAAGTTCGTCTAGATGAACAGAATCAACTGGTATTTATATCTTTTACGGAGTGGGTATACAGGCCTATTCACCATGGACTATGTTAACTGATCTTGTAACCAGGAGAAAGGACCAATAAACACCAGCGACAGGAACACCCAAAGAGAGCAACAGAAATGTGTAACTCGACCCTGACTGGTCGGACTTAGTAGTAGCGGGCAATATAAAGATTGCCCTATCGGACAACAAGTGATTGGGTATATAGACTGGTTTTGAATGATACTAATAGCGTCCATTATAGGAACCAGTAGAGAAGAGGATATAATCGACATGGGCATTCAATAGTTACCATAATCGTGATGAAGATTATAAATTTACAATAAAGTGATCACCGAATCTAGTGTACCTCCTCTACGACCTTTAATAGGTGGAGTCTGGAATAGAATAATGTCTGCGGAATAGCAAATAAAGACCTCTCACTCTATAAGGTAATAGTTATAGAGGCTAATAGAAACTGGATAAGTCACCTCAATCAACAATGTAAATTCTAGACTGAAGTACCAATAGATCATGTACGTGAAGTAACCTGCCATTTAATTATAACTATCAATAACGAAGCGTACTTCGGTTTTATTATGTAATATTCAGCAGTGATCTCTTCATCGATACAACACTATTCTCCCCCAGAATACAATTACCTTGTGATTGTTATTCGGCTTAAATATGTAGAGATGAAGATTTTAAGTTATTATTGTGAGATTAAATCCGTAAATTGTTTCATAGATCATCTCTTCATTTTTTGCCAGAAATTAAAATATGTAACCTAACATTTGGTAACTGCCTAAGGCATTTACCATGTAAGCATCTTTCTTTTTCTTCTCTTAATTTGATTTACGCTTATTGCGTTGTCGCATTACTACTGTAACATTTCTCTTTCGTTTACTATTTCTTTGTTTTGTATTCTGTTCTTGTTCTTCTTGTTGCAGGTCATGCTTTTGCCAGTATTTATCAATCGGTTCTGTGCTAGAGAAATCGCTTGCTTTGACCCACGTATTATGTTCATTTGTATAACCTTTCCATTTCACTAAGAACTCACGTTTACCCTTTGGACCACGATGTTCCAAGATATCTTCAATTTCATAATATTCATCAACGGCACCTTCATCAATGTTTACAATTTTTAATTCTGAAGGAACATAGTTTCTTGGTAACAGTTCATTAGTCTCAGGTGTTTTTAATATGTAAGAACCACCTTTATTCTTTCTAACGACAGTGTATGGACCATCATACAGTGCAGAAAGCTTGTTACTACGTTGAGGCAATCTGATCATAACATGAGTACCAGCAGGAATATCCACTATTTTATGGCTTGAATTGTAATATTCATTGATCTTTTCATTCAACTGCTTTGTACGTTCAACTATAGCGGGAAAAACAATTTTTTCCATTTTTTCAATTTGATCTTCAAGTTCTTTAATTGTAGTAGTTTCTTGGAGGACAGGGTATCTATCCTCATCAGCGTAGTTATCAGGTAGGTTAACTCTTCGAGCAAACATCAATGAGAAAGGAGCACTCATTGATTTCTTTTTAATTTGTCTATTAGCGCAAAGCTGTACTAATGGTAAATATAAATCCCAATCACGAGAATTACCATCAATCATTTTTCTCAAAGTGTTTTGAATGATTTTACAGTATGCTTCAACATGACCATTAGATTGAGCATACATAGCTGTATTGTAATTCTTTTTGATGTGTAAATGATGACATATTTCATTCATTAACTTGTTCTTAAATTCTGTACCATTATCAGAACTAATTATTCTTGGTAAACCATAATCAGCAAATATTTTTACACAGGTTTTGGCAACTGTATCTGAATGCTTATTCTTCAATGGGCGAACAATTACATACTTTGTACACATGCATACAACAATTAGAATATAGAGATAGCCATCAGAGCTTTGATTGAAGGGACCTACAAGATCCATACTGATATGGTCAAAAGGTCTTGCACTGACAATGTTCGTTATGGGATGATATCCTCGACGAACAATATTGTGCTTTTGACATTGTGTACAGGCTTCACATACAGTTTTAGCATCTTCATAAATATTATTCCAATGTAGTTGTTGGTCATGTAAGTCTCTCACCATTGCAACATGTGAGGCATGTCCGAGATTATGCATGTCAATCAATAATTGTTTTCTCTCCTCCTCAGGTGGAGTTATATATTCTACAGGTATGCTTTTGTTCTCTACTAATTTGGTAGCTAATACGTTCAATTTTTTATCTTCATTATACTTTTTACGCTTTACTAATGTTTTCTGTAGAACCCTATTCTCCCCCAGCTTGCGTTCACTCTCTGAAAGAGGTGGATACAAGCGGCTTAAAAGGTCAGCCAAACGATTCATAAAACCAGGAATATGAACAACAGAAAAGTCGTATTCCATTAATGTTTCAATCCATCCAAGTAACATTGGATTAAGAATTTTCTGGGTGTGGAGATAGGTAAGACTTTTATGGTCCGTGTATAAGGTGAATTGACGGCCAAAGAGATATTCACGGAATTTCTTTAAAGCGAAAATAACCGCATATAATTCTCTTCTAGTTGTACTCCAATTACATTGGGAGGGTTGTAATGATTGAGACACAAAATTGATATACAAATCACGGTCTTTATCATCTTTTTGGAAGAGTACAGCAGAAACACCGTACTGTGAAGCATCAGTTGCAACAAAGAAGGGTTTAGACATTCTCGGATGATGTAAAACAACACGCGACTTTAGGATGGCTTTAATAGAATTAAATGCTTTCTCTTGGGTAGAGTCCCAAAGCTTTTCAATGTTGCCTTTATGACTAAGCCGAGTAAGTGGTTTGCTCACATCAGAGATCATTGGTATATAAGCACGAAAGTAATTGACCAGTCCTAAAAATGACTGAATTTGTCGACCAGTCTTAGGTCTGGGCCATGTTTGAACGTTGGTGATCTTATTATCGTCAACATGAGTGCCAGTTGCATCAACGACATGACCCAAAAGTCGAACAGAGTGTTGGAAAAAACTACATTTATCAATGTTGATAATCAGATTGGCAGATGTTAATCTGTCGATGACGTTTTTAACGTCTGTTACATGTTGCTCTAGCGAAGTGCTTGCAACAACACAATCGTCAACAAAGTTCTGTACATAAGGCATGTCTTCAAACAAACCAGCCAGAACCTTCTGAATTGAGAGGTTAAAAACTTTAAGCCGAAAACAGGCCTTAATAAACATATACTGGTTGCCGTCCAGATGTGTAAAGGACAACTTATGTTGGTCTTCTTTAGCTACT